GGCCCCTGCCCTCCGGTCCTCGTGGACGTGCCCTGGGACAGCCCTCAGGGACTGTGGCCCAGGTGCTGCCCACCCTCTCCCACTGAGGGCGCCGGGCAGGGGCCAGCAGCTCCCCAGGCAGGCGCTGATGGGCTCCAGTCCTATGTGGTGATGTGGGGCGGGGCGCTGGTGAGACGCCCATCTGCCTGCCCTCTCGGAGTGGGGGTGGGTTGCTCCGGGGGCTGGCACACACGCGGCCCCTCCTTGCTCTCAGCACCTGCTCTGGAGGCCGGTGGAGCTGCCGGGAGGTGCCATGCCCTGGCACTTGCTCGGTGCTGGGAGGCGCTCACTTCTCCACCTTTGACGAGAGGCAGTACACGGTTCACGGGGACTGCAGCTACGTGCTGACCAAGGTATGCGCCCTGGCCTCACCCTGGACAGGGTGGCCTTCAGGCGGCGTCCAGCCGTGGGTCCATGCGTCCACCCTGGACCTGGGCTGCGTGTTGGTGCCGCGCCTGGGGGTCCCTATGCTGAGTCCCCCAAGAAACCACCCCCGCTCTGGGCGTGGCCTGCGGGGTTTACAGGTGGGTGGAGTAGGCGGAGGAAGGCCGGAGTGGGGCTGAGCATTAAGGGAGGACCTGTGTTCCCAGCCCTGTGACAGCAGCGCCTTCACCGTGCTGGCCGAGCTGCGCAGATGCGGACTGACCGACAATGAGAACTGCCTGAAAAGCCTGACACTGAGCCTGGGCTCGGGGCACACGGTGAGTGCAGACCCCGGGGCTGGAGTGACCTTCGCCCAAGCCCCCGGTCCGCCATGGGCAGCAGGTGGCCCGGGCACGGCCCAAGGACCCTCCCACCAACTCCCGCCTCCACCTCTTGCGGGTCCTCTGCGCGACTGTCCCCAACAGGGAGCAGTGCAGGGACGGGCACTGGGCCTCCACCCGCCCCGGGGGGCCCAGGACACCTCTCCGCTGCAGTCGACGTCTTTATTTTAGTAAATCTTTGTTTTGTTCACATGATCAGTGGGTGTCCAGTGCCTGCAGAAAGTGCAGACAAGCAGGCTGAGCCGGCGGCTGGGCCGTCAGCCCTCCTCTGTAGAGCCCAGGCCTGGGTACGGCCCTGGGGGGCCTGTCCTGACCCCCACTGTGTGCTTCTCCAGGTCATCGTGGTCAAGGCCAGCGGGGAGGTGTTTGTGAACCAGATCTACACCCAGCTGCCCGTCTCCGCAGGTGAGCCCGCCTGCCCTGGTCACCCCTCGAGGGTCTGGCCCCTCGCACCCCGCTGACACCTGGTCCTGTGTCCGCAGCCAACGTCACGCTCTTCAGACCCTCCACTTTCTTCATCATCGCCCAGACCCAGCTGGGCCTGCAGCTGGACATCCAGCTGGTGCCCCTCATGCAGGTGTACGTGAGGCTGGCGCCCGAGCTCCGGGGGCAGACCTGCGGTAAGAGGGCCACTGCCCTGGCCACCAGAGCCCGCCCTCCGTGGCTGGGGCACACAGGGGCCTCATACTGCCTTCCCGTCCCCAGGCCTGTGTGGGAACTTCAACCAGAACCAGGCGGACGACTTCCGGACCATCAGCAGCGTGGTGGAGGGCACGGCTGCCGCCTTCGCCAACACCTGGAAGACCCAGGCCGCCTGCCGCAACGTCAAGAACAGCTTCGAGGACCCCTGCTCCCTCAGCGTGGACAACGGTACGTGTGTCCGCAAGCCCCGCTGGCCCGCCTGGGCCAGAGGTCTGGGTGTGGGCTCTGGCTGTCCACCCCAGCCCGAGGGGGAGGTCAGGTGGTAAACCAGCAGGCCCGCCAACACGCAGCGACCTGGCCAGGTGGGTCTCGGAGGTGCAGGGTGCTGGGGGGTCGGGGAGTGAGGCCCACCCCCCCCGTGCCTGCCACCAGGCTGGGGGCGCTCGGGAAGGAGCCTCAGAGCTGCTCACGCCTGGCCTAGTGCTTTAGATGGACCACCAGGGACGCGGGGTGAAAGGAAGTCTGCTCACCCGCAGGGAGCGCCCGTCTAACACGACTGTCCAGCCCCGCTGACCGTCCCTCCTCCTCTGTCCACAGAGAAATACGCTCAGCACTGGTGCTCGCAGCTGACCGACCCCCACGGCCCCTTCGCCCGGTGCCACGCCTCTGTGAACCCCAGCACTTACTACTCGGTAATGCCACTCACCTGCCCCCTCCCTGGGCCATGCGGCCACCCTCAGGGTCCCCAGGGCTGTGGCAGCAGGGTCTGGGCTATTTGGTCTCTCTGGCTCTGTTCCCCCCACCCCCATTCACTCACTCACTCGCTGGCTCACGGCGAGGCTCCTGCAGCCGGCCTGAGGGTCCCCCAGAGAGCGCATAGCCCACCGGCCCGGGGCGTAAGTGAGAAACCAGTGGCAGCTGCGGTGTTCTTGTGTCCGAGGCTGAACATAGAGGGCCGGACCGTTGGGTCACAGAGATGAGGGGCCCGGGTCCTCCCAGCACCTCTGCCCAGCAGGGGGCTTGGCTCCAAGACGCGCTGTGCGATTTCTGCAGAGGGACGTTCAGGGAGGGGTCCTGGAGAGGCAGGAGCTCCGGCAGATCAGGGGCTGCTCACCCTTGGGGGGCTGGGCTCCCTGACGTCCCGACCCCCTGACATCCCCCCAGAACTGCATGTTCGACACGTGCAACTGTGAGAAGAGTGAGGACTGCATGTGCGCCGCCCTTTCCTCCTACGTGCGGGCCTGCGCCGCCAAGGGCGTGCTGCTGAGCGGCTGGCGGGACGGCGTGTGCAGTGAGTGCGCGGGGAGCGGGGCGGGCCCTGCAGTGGATGCTCCAGGGGCCCCTGTCCTCACAGTCAAGCTCACAGTCCACGGAGCGCCCAGGCCAGGGTCCCCAGGACTCCAGCTAGGACCATGGGCCTGGCGGGGACAGGGGAGCCAGGGTCCTGGGCGATGGCCGCTGGCTCTGTCCTGAGTGCTGCCTCTTCCTGGCATTCTGCAGCAAAGCCCACAGCCACCTGTCCCGAGTCGATGACCTACCACTACCACATCAGCACCTGCCAGCCCACCTGCCGGGCCCGGAGCGACGAGGACGTCACCTGCAGCATCAGCTTCGTCCCTGTGGACGGCTGTACCTGCCCCCATGAAACCTTCCTGGACGACACGGGCAAGTGTGTGCCGGCCACCAGCTGTCCCTGCTACCACGGGGGCTCCATGGTTCCCAACGGGGAGTCGCTGCATGAGAGCGGGGTCATCTGGTAAGAGCCCCTGCCGAGCGGGTGGGGTGGGCCAGCTGGGGAGGCCCTCTGACTGCCCTCTCCTTGCAGCTCCTGCACCCAGGGCACGCTGGCCTGCATCGGAGGCTACTCCCCGGCTCCAGGTGAGCCCAGGGGTGCGGGGGAGGGGCTCTCGGTGACCTGCACGTGAAGCTATGGTCCGTGGGGGGTGTGGGGGCTTAGATGCCCCCAAGTCAGCGAGGCTGGTGGGCATTGGCCCGCGTCTCTGCCGCGCCTGGTCTGTGCCCTCTGGGCTCCACAAGAGCGCGCACAGCACGGCAGCACACGCACACGCCAGCCCCAGGGCGGCAGCCACCACCGTCAGGAGACACGCCCCTCAGAGCCAGCCCGGTGGTCCCCTGATGCCCCCTCCCTCCCCAGCCTGTGCCTCCCCCATGATCTACTCGGACTGCCGCAACGCCACGCCCGGGGCCGCAGGGGCCGGCTGTCAGAAGAGCTGCCACACGCTGGACATGGACTGTGTAAGTGCCCCGATGACCCCACACCTGCTCGGGCCTCGTGGGCTCCTGTGAAGAGGCCCACCAGGTGGGCCCTAAGAGGACCCTGCCTGAAGCTGCCGGGCCCGCTGTCCCTGTGGCCCCCCCCCGCCCCCAGCCCACCCAGGCCCACTGAGTGGAGTCCGCCCCGCCTCACAGTACAGCCCCCAGTGCGTGCCCGGCTGCGTGTGTCCCAACGGGCTGGTGGCCGACGGCGAAGGCGGCTGCATCCCTGCGTCCGACTGCCCCTGCATGCACAACGAAGCCAGCTACCAGGCCGGCCAGACCATCCGGGTGGGCTGCAACACCTGGTACGCCTGGGGGCTCAGAGCCCAACCTGGGGGGCAGGCCCCTGGAGCCTCAGGGAGGGAGGCTTTGGCCTGATGAGCGCCCCATCCCTCCCCAGCACCTGTAAGAGCAGGATGTGGCAGTGCACGGACGAGCCCTGCCTGGCCACCTGCGCCGTGTATGGGGACGGCCACTATCTCACCTTCGATGGGCAGCGCTACAGCTTCAGCGGGGACTGCGCATACACGCTGGCCCAGGTACGGTGCGCGGTCAGACCCTCCTAGACACCCCCCACCCTGCCCCTGGCCTCGCCCCTGGGACAGCCCTCCTCCCCCCACACAGGACCGCTGCGGCGGGAACGGCAGTGCTCAGGACGGCTTCCGTGTCGTCACTGAGAACATCCCCTGTGGCACTACGGGGACCACCTGCTCCAAGGCCATCAAAGTCTTCCTGGGGGTGAGTGGGGCCCGGGGGGAGCCCCTGGGAAGGCTGTACTCCCGAGACAGGGGCCGTGGGGCCACGAGCCGACTCGGAAGGTGGCAGGGTCCTCGTCCAGAGCCTCACTGGCCCTGCCCCGCACAGAGCTACGAGCTGAAGCTGAGTGACGGCAAAGCGGAGGTGATCGAGAAGGACCCGGGGCAGCAGCCACCCTTCTCCATCCGCCAGATGGGCATCTACCTGGTGGTGGACACGGAGGTCGGCCTGGTGCTGTTGTGGGACAAGAGGACCAGCATCTTCCTCATACTCAGCCCCGAGTTCAAGGTGGGCCCCCTGGGAGGCCGCCGCCCTCACCCCAGGCCCAGGGTCGGCTGGGAGCAGGGGTGCAGTGGGGGAGAGACAGAGACGGACAGACAGAGGCAGAGAGGGAGGCAGACAGACAGGGAGGGACAGAGCGGCAGCAGGAGCCGCCACACACTGCCGGCCCCCTGCTCTCACAGCTCTGGACACCGGAAGTCCAGTCAAGGTGTCCTGGGGCCGCATTCCCTCCCAAGGCTCTGGGGGAGGGTTCCTCCCGCCTCCTCCAGCTCCCGCGGCCCCGGTCACCCCGTCACCCCAACCTCTGCCTCCGGTTACTGTCTTCACTCTGTCTGTGTCCACATGTCCCCTGTCCTTTAGGGGTGCAGGCACCGGCCCAGCCGCCCCAGCGCAGGGCGCCCTCCTCTCAGCTCGCTCTCGCCCGCAGAGACGCTCTTCCCTCGCTGGGCCGCGCTCCTGGGTGTCGGGTCAGGACCCGAGCCCGGCTCGGGGGGACAGCTCGTAGCCCACTTTGCTGTGTCCCCCGTGCGCTCGCCTCCAGAGAGACTTGGGCGCCCGGTGGGGCTGCTCTGGGGGAGCTGTGGGCCCCGTGGATGGGGGTGAATGGGGTCACAGGGCCCTGAGCCTGAGCCCTCGTCTCTGCATCCACAGGGGAGGGTCTGCGGGCTGTGCGGGAACTTTGATGACAACGCCCTCAACGACCTCACCACGCGGAGCCAGTCCGTGGTGGGCGACGTGCTGGAGTTTGGCAACAGCTGGAAGTTCTCCCCGTCCTGCCCGGACGCCCAGGACCCCGAGGACCCCTGCACGGCCAATCCGTACCGCAAGTCCTGGGCCCAGAAGCAGTGCAGCATCATCAGCGGGGACGCCTTCAGCGCCTGCCATGCCCACGTACGTGGGGCGCTCCTCCGGGCCCCTGGGGAGGAAGGGACAGGGTGGGGGCCCAGTGGCTCCTTGCCACCCTCCGGGGCCACCTGTCTGGCCGGCCACGTGGGACCTGAGCTCCAGGGAAATTGGCCCAGGCCGACACCAAGCCACGCCAGTCCCCGAGAGCCATGGGGAGTGCGGGCCTGGCGCCTGAAGCCTCTTCTCCGCAGGTGGAGCCGGCCAGGTACTACGAGGCCTGCGTGAGCGACGCCTGCGCCTGTGACTCTGGGGGCGACTGCGAGTGCTTCTGCACGGCCGTGGCCGCCTACGCCCGGGCCTGCCACGAAGCGGGCGTGTGCGTGTCCTGGCGGACCCCGGACGTCTGCCGTGAGTGCCCACGGACGCGTCCATCAGGGCAGGACGGGGACACAGGCAGTGACGAGAACTGTGTTGAATGCGGGAGGGGTGGGAGGGCTTGAAGGGGATCCGCCGAGCTCCCCCAACCCTGCGGAGCCGGGCGGAGGGGGCGGAGCTGGGGGCAGCTCCGGCTGAAGTCCCCCGCCTCAAGGTGCCGCGTCCCTGAGAAGCCCGCTGACCACGCTCCTTGCCGCCCCCTGTGGCCCGCAGACCCCCGCCCCCGAGGCCACGTCCACAGGCACAGGGGAGGGATGCGTCTTCAGAACGGCTCGTGGTCAAGGATTGGGACACGGGGAGCCCCCAGGCTGTCCTCCAAGGGCGGCACTCGCGCCTGGCCCTGAGCCCCCTGCCCCCTCCCCGCAGCTCTCTTCTGCGACTACTACAACCCCCAGGGCCAGTGCGAGTGGCACTACCTTCCCTGCGGCGCCCCCTGCCTGAAGACCTGCCGGAACCCCAGCGGCCAGTGCCTGCACAGCGTGCACGGCCTGGAAGGTGGGCTGCTGCCCTGCTGGCTGGGAGGGGCGGCCCAGGGGCCCGGGGGGGCGGGGTCTGTCCTGGGGGTCCTCTGACCCCCCGTGGTGCCTGTGCAGCTGTAGCCTTGAGCCCCCCTGCAGCGTTGTGGGCGACGTCCAGGGCTGGGGACTGAGTGGAGGTGGGAGGTGGGGCATCAGGTGATGTGCAGTTCGTCTGGCTGGGACTCAGGCTTCTCTGGCCCACAGGCTGCTACCCCAAGTGCCCACCAGAGGCCCCCATCTTTGACGAGGACCAGATGCAGTGTGTGGCGTCCTGCCCGACCCCACCCCCACCGCCGCCCTGCCGCGTCCAGGGCAAGTCCTACCGGCCTGGCTCAGCCGTGCCCTCAGATGAGAACTGCCACTCCTGGTGAGTCCTTGGCTGGAGTTGAGAGGAGCCTGGAGCACGTGGGGGTTCTCCCGGCCCCCTGCCATTGGGGAAAGGCCCCACCAGCCACCTCCCAGGAGAGCCTCCTCCCTTGAGGGCCGGGAGGAGCCCTCCAGCCTGGGTTTGCTGTGGGGTCCACCGAGGAGCTTCCTTGCTGCAGGATGAGGCTGGGGGACCTGTGGGGTGAAGGAAGGGGGCAGAGGGGAAGCTGAAACGTGACACCCACCGAGGATCCCCAAGACAGACACCCTTGAGAGGCAGTGGCCGTCAGAAGGCCCGAGGGGCTCTCTGGCCATGCTGGAACCGGCCTCCTCTGGTCACTGACTGGAGGGTCCCCCTGACGGGGTGTGACCCCACTGGCCTGCCCGCCCCGGCACGGGGCTTGCCCTACGCCCCAGACTCGCCTGCTTTCTTCTGTTGCCAGCATTTGCACTGAGAGCGGCGTGCGCTGCACCTATGACTCGGACGGTGAGCAGGGGTGGCACTCCTCGTCTGGGGTCCCGGGTCCCCGCCTGCCCCCCAGCCCCTGACCGCCAGCTCCCTGCTCCCCTCAGCCTGTGTCTGCACCTACGGCGGCCAGCACTTCCGTCCCGGGGACGTCATCTACCACACGGCAGACGGCACGGGGGGCTGCATCTCCGCCCGCTGCGGGGCCAACGGCACCATCGAGAGGAGGATCTACGCCTGCAGCTCTACCTCCCCCACCCCGCAAACCACCTTCTCCTTCTCTACGCCGCTCGGTAAGGTGGACACGCTGGGTACCAGGCAGGGCTGCCCCTCGCCTGGG